AAAACACACACAAGATGATAAGGGAGAAAAATCTAGATTTCATTGGGTTTGGTGATGACTTTTTAGATACAATACCAAAGGAATGATACATTTTAAAAATTTGATAACATGGTCTTTATTAAAATTAATTTTTTCTATCCTGAAAAAGACAATAATAAAAGAATTAAAAGACAAGGATAAAAAGATTCATGATAAATAACCCTTAAGACCCAACAATAAGAAAAACAATAACTCCAATTTAATAAAATCGGTCAAATACCATAACAGATACTTCACTGGGAAAAAAAAAATATATAGATGTCAAATGATCATGAAAAGATGCCCAACATCATATGTCATTAGTAAACTGCAAATTAAAGCAAGTAAACACACACACACACACACACACACACACCTTTTAAAATAGGCAAAATCCAGAATACTTGACATCCCGAGATGCTGATGAGGATGTACAGCAACAGAGATTCTCTTCCATTGCTAGATGAAATGCAGCCATTTTTGAAGACAATGTCACAGTTTCTTTCTTTCTTTCTTTTTTTTAATTTGTTCTTTTTAGTTTTACATGTTAGTAGAACCTATTTTGATATATTTATGTAAACATGGAGCATATCTTATTCTAATTAGGATCCCAGTTTTACAGTTCTTATAAAACAAATTTTTGCCAGCAATCAAACTCTTTGGTATTTATCCAAAAGAATAAAAAAATTATGTACACATAAAACCTGTACACAAATGGACATAGACCCATTATTCATAACTGCCAGAACTTGGAAGCCATCAAGATGTCCTTAAGTATGTAATGAATATATAAACTAAGGTACATTCAGACAATTGGATATTATTGAACACACACACACAAAAACAAACCAACAAGTTATCCATCAATTCAGGAAAAGACACAGAGAAACTTTAAATTCACTTTGTGTGTCTTCAGGAAAATGAAAATGAAAATAAAGAGGTATTATTACACACACGAGACTAGCCAAAATCCAGATCACTTACAACATCAAACGTTAGCCAGGAAATACATGGAGCAACAGAAATTCTCATTCATTGTTAGTGACACAGCCAGATGCTTTGGAAGAGAGTTTGGTAATTTCTTGAAAAACTGAACATAAAGAGGAAACATTACAACCAATACCGTAGAAAAACAAAACTTATCTACACAAATAAATCCTGTACAAAAATGGTCATAGCAGCTTTATCCATGATTAACAAAACTTGGAATCAATCAACATGTCCTTCAGTAGGCAAATGGATAAACAAATTGGAGTACTTCTTGATAATGTAATCTTATTCAACACCAAATATAAATGATCAAGCCATGAAAAGACATACAGGAAATTTAAATGCATACTTCCAAGAGAAAGAGGCCAGTCTGTAAGTATCATATACTCTGTAATTCCAACTATATGACATTCTGGAACAGGAAAAACTGAAGATGTTAGGAAAAACTCAGTGGCTGCCAGAGGTTAGTAGATTCAAGGGAAGGACAAATGGGTAAAGCAAAGAGGATTTTTAGAGCAGTGTTAAGTATTTTGATAATAGTGCACTAGTAAATATAGATCAACCCCATAGAATATATGACATACAGTAGTAAATCCTAATGCCTACTATGACCTTTGGGTAATAATGATGTGTCAACATAGATTTATCAATTGTAATGAATGTACCACTCCAATGCCGAAGTCTGGCTGGGCACAAAATCACGAGCCACCACACAGCTTGTAGATTCAAACAGCAACTCTTTATTCCCGAACTCACACCAGCCGTCTACAAACACGTTCTGGGGAAATCCGCGTTCTCTGCCCAAATCCACCCCCACTGGGCTTCTGTCTCCCAAAAAATACTGTCTGAATCCCGTGAGAACTCAAGGGGAACTCAGGCAGCAGGATACGCCCTTTTCCCAGCAGGAATAACCTTAAACCTGGAACCGCCCTAAACCCAAGGAGAGCCCTAAACCCTGATCCACCCTAAACCCAGATCCGCCCTGGTCCTTGAGCAAGGTCACCTTTCTCAAACATACATGTAATGTCACTGCAAATGTCCAAGGCAAGTCCATTTCCACGAGTCCTTCCTCTAAGCAACATGGGGTACACTGGCAAGGAAATTGTCATACCTACTTGGCTAATGGCTCCCAGCACACCAGACCACCTCTCAGAATAACCTGTATAGGCCCAGGCCCCTTCTTTGTTTGTGGGCTCATTTTCCATCAGGAAAGTGGGTCCCACCACAGCTCATTTCATTCCTGCATCCCCTGCTTCTGTGTGAAATTTCCTTTCTGAAGGAAGCACTGAGCAGATTTGTGAAGTTTGCGTTCATCCTGGTCTTTTTGTGCTAATAGATAGAGGTTCACCAGGGAAACAGGGAAAGCAAACTCAGAGAACAGGGTGAGAGACAGGAGGTTGTTCACTGTTACAGGATGCTGTGTCACCAGACTTCTTTTCCCTCAGTGCAGCCGGTAGAGCATTCCTCAACATGCTGTTTCCTGTGCCACAAGACCTGACTCAGGGAAGAACACACTCTGTAGTCACCTACAGACATTACAGACATTCTGCCTACCCAGAGATGGACACTTCCCACTGTAAATGGGCAGTGGATATTCTGAGTTTTGTTAGTCAGCTTCCTGCATCCTTGTGGGGGACAAATGGAACACACTAGTATTAGCCTGTGGAGTAAAAGACAAACTCCTTTCAATCACAAGAGAGAAGAACAAAGGGGGAGAAAACCTACAAGGATAATAACTATTCTAGATTCCCGTGGGGAAGGAGAGCATCCAGCCCTCCTTGCTTGTGATTACTGGTTACTTTGCCTAAAGAGTTGCAAACTGTGGCTTCCTCATTTCAGAGAGAAGGATAAGCTCCTTTAGGTGTCCAGTTAGATTTTTTCCCCAGTTAGATTTTGGTGAATAAGCTGTCCTGGCATCTAGAACTCATTAACATTTTAAAGGATATTTTTATCCTTCTTGCCTTGAGCCCTAAGACTTGAAGCCAGGGCAGTTTCAAATAAAACAAAGAAGGGTGGAGACTGAAAGTTAGAACTCCAGGCCTGCAATTTTCTGATGTCAAACCTTTGGAAGAAAGTTAACAATTCACTGTCCAGCACAAAATATACCAAATGCTTGTTGAATGAATTAACAGTGAACAAACTGACAATGAATGAATGAATGAACTGTGAAATGATCAAACAAGTCTACTTCTTGGATAGTCACCTACTTGTTTCCTATCTGGTTACTGATTTGCTAGATTGAGAATTCAGTTACAGTTTGTCAAGTTCCAAAATTTGTATTGATAAGGATTTTGAGAAAAATTGCAGTCATTCAGAATTATTCACTGAGTCCCAGCTTTGCTAAAGATGTTCTACCTCAATTCAAAGTATTTAAAAATTTAAAATATAGATAAGAAGCCATTCCTTCTACATTTAATGAAAGATATTGTGACAATAGGCAGCAATTATACAATTGGTTGGCAATTATACAGTAGAATTCAGTGATGGTGCCAGGTATCCTGCCCTCTGATAAATCAAAGCAGACAAGATTCAACCCAATCATATGCCACATAAATTGTTTCTGATATGCTGAAAGATCTTTTTGTGGGAAGGTCAGAGTCTGAGACATAAGCAGATAGGTTCTCCTGCTGAAGAGAACAGTCCCAGTAAAAACACAGGGACGGCAATGCGCAAGGCACGAAAGGTGGGACTTAGAACGCTAGCATTAAAAAGTATCCGCAAGAAACCAACAATCTTACCATAAAGGGACAGAGAACGAGTGCAACTTGCGAAACTCAGTAAAGGGGAGAGTCTGGAATTTGCCACCGGGACATTGCTACCTGCTCCGTGCAATTTATTAGTCATGGATAAAAATAGAATTATGGTTTTGAAATAAGAGGTCAGTATTACGCTGGTGATGACATCGTTGCTTTCTTCTGTGTCGCTTATTTTCAAAGAGTAAAAGGAAAAATAAAAACCAGAGGGCTATTTAAAACAAGAAACAAAAAACAGAGAATATAAACACGAGTAACCACTTGGGGGCGCATTAACTAAACTGCTCCACCTTCCTTTATGACGTCTGAAAGTATAGAATCGTAGTGGCTCCTGGGTCTAGGGGTATGGCTCTTGCTTAGGGTGCGAGAGGTTCCGGGTTCATGTTCCGGACAGCACTCTTTTGCACGCCGCAGTTTAATTGACTTTTGGGGACACAGGTAAATTAACGCGGTGACTAAGTGTCTGAGCGAAACTCTAGAGGGACGCACGCTTCACTCTCAAATACTGCTACGAGGAGTGGCGCCAAGACCTAGAAAGTGTGTGAGGGACACAAACCTGGCCCCAGCCCGGGGGTGCGCGGCGCGCCCGGGGATCCTCTGCCCGCGGGGGTCGTGCTCCCTGCGGGGCCGCCCCTGGCTCGAGCTGCCGGGGCCCCATGGCCTTCCAGGCCCGCAGGAGTGCCGCGGGCAGTGGAGACAAGCGAGGTGCCGGTGCTCTAGGGCCCCGCGCTCGGCTGCACGGTTCGGGCTACCGTAGGAACTGAGCTCCCTTGATCTGACTTCGAAGACCAGGGACCGACACCCGAGCTCGTGGGACCAGAACAGTCGCCAGAATGGGCTGTGCGAGGAAAATAAAATCCTCCTCCAATTCAGGTGTGGCTCGAGAAAAAGCCTGGGCTCGTCCGGGATTTGAACCCGGGACCTCTCGCACCCAAAACGAGAATGCTACCCCTTGACCAATGACCCGCCCAAAGTAGCAGTCCTCCTGGCCTCCGCCTTTCAGCCTCACCGCCTCGCCGCGCTTCCTGGTTCGTAATACGCGGCTTGTGGAGGCTCTCCGCTCTGGGCCTGGAGCCTTCCCACCGCGCGGGGTTGCAGCCCAGGGACCTGCACTGCCCCCGGCTCCGCGCGGCACTGGGGAAGAGCCGGGGCTCCCGAGCGGGGCTCTGAGCTGCACCCCGGGGAGGAGCCCGGCTCTGGAGCGGGGCTCTGCACTGCACCCCAGAAAGGGGCCAGGACCTCTGGCACCGGGCTCCGCGCTGCGCGCTGCACCCCGGGGAGGAGCCGAGTTCCCGAGCGGGCTCCGCGCTGTACCCCGGGAGGAGCCGGGCCCTCTGGAGCGGGGCTTCGCGCTGCACCCCGGGGAGGAGCCGGGGCTCCCGAGCGGAGCTGTGCAGCTCTGGCGGCGACTCGCCGAGGGGCTCCACTGCGATGGAGCCAGGTGACCCGGGCGTGAGCCAGTGCAGCAGGGCGCGTGTCGGGGAGGGTGGGAGAGCACCGTGCCTGGCTCGGAAGGGAGGGAGAGGAAGGAAGCGTCGGGGAAGAACGGCACAGTTCGGCCTCCCGAGGGCCACTCGGGTTCCTGCGTGCTCCGCGCACTCGGCCAGCTCGGTCAACCCCGTCGGCTCTGCTGTGATTGCCCCACTTTGCAGACCAAGAAATCGAGGCCCGGGGTGTTCAGTAGGTCACTTAGGACACAGAGCTACGAAGCAGCAGCGGTGAGCTCCTGCTACCCGGGGAGGTGCGTGAATGCGGGCAGGGTGGCGATTAAGGGGACATGCTGCTGGGGAGAGGAACCGGTGGCTTGAAGGAGGGGAGCACAGGGGGCCGGGTCTTTTCTCCCCCAGCGCACAAATCTGAGCCTATGGCTGCTTCCTGCTCCGGCGGTCGGCAGCTGCGTGGCAGAGGCCCCTCATTTCTGAAGCCCTCTTCCACCGTGGACTACCTTTAATTCAGGGGTATGGGATCCATTGCCCTGTCGCCTGAGGGTCCAGATGGTGTGTTTGCCCTGTCACTTCTGTGGGGGTGGGGTACTTGGGATTGAACCCAGGGCCACTTTATCACTGAGCCACATCCCTAGCCCTATTTTATTTTGAGGCAGGGTCTTATAAGTTGCTTAGGCCTTACGTAGCTGCTGGCTGGCTAGCCTCCAATTTGCCATCCTCCTGCTTCAGCCTCTGGAATCGCTGTCCTCTCACCTTTTGACCAGGAGCTCCCCTCCTCTTCCTTTCCTCCTCCTTCTCCCTCCCTCTCTTGATGCTGAGGGCTCTTGGGGCGCCACTTAATGAGAGGAGGTCAGAGGAGGCTCAAGCCCTTGGGCGCTGTGAAAGGAGAAATACAAGTGGGGACACCTGGAAATAAAGACCAAAAGGTGAGGCAGAGACCTGATGGTCCTGGTGCAGGGACTCATCTGTTTGGAGGGCAGCGCCATCTAAGCCCTCCTTAGGCTCTGGGCGCTGTAAACTCTGACCGCTTTCCTTTTTGACACCACTTTTTCCTCCTCCTGTTGAACTAAGTCTTGAGAGCTGGGTATTGTCCTAACTGATTCAGGGATGCGTGAGTGTGGGAGAGGAGGAGATGTCATCAGGGCAAGCCACGTTTCGCCCTCCCGGGGAGGTGGTGCCTCCGCCCTGCCCGATCCTCCCCTTCCACTCACCATGGTGCACAGAGTTGGCAAAGTGGGAGACCTTTCCCACCTTTGCAGAGTGGCACTCTCCATGGTTTTTGTTGGTGGTGGCTTTCCCATCCCTTTACGGCCATTTGTAATGGCTTCCAACTCTTCCAGCAAGACAATGAGCGCCCTTTTCTTTATTCTTCTATTTGTATGGTAAAAAAAACGTGTCCAAGGTTGCACTGAGATAAATGTTGCCCAATTAGCCTATTTGTGTGTAAACTTTTCCCATTTTCTGGATTATTTCCAAAGGGTATACTCTCCAAGTTGGCAGGGTCAGAGGGATGAACATTTTACACCTAGACTGCTTTTGTGAGCTTTTGTTTTTATACTGGCTCTTGATGCAACTCATCACCAAGGAGCTTGACTTGGCTGCTTAGCAAGTAAGGCAAAAACACGATGAAGAGGAGCAGAGGCCCTTGCTGGCTACGTGTAACTCTGCCATTCATTGAGACCCATGATCCAGTCTTCTAATTCTACTTAAGGGTTTGGGTGGCAAACAAGTTTTCGAGAATGGTGATACTGTAAAAAGAATTTTTGAAGATAATGCTGACTTGAGGTCAAATATATGAGAGGGAGCAGATGAAATTAGGAAAGAGTTGTGGCAGGAGGGTGACAAGGTAGAAGCCAGCCTTTGAAACTTAGCAAGACTCTCAAAAACCAACAGAAAGAATGGATGGGGATAGAGCCCAGTGGTGGACGCCAGTTTAATCCCCAGTACAGGCAGGAGGGGAGGGTGATAAGAATGACTCTGGATGGTGTATTGAAACTCAGAATGTTAAATCATTTGTTTGGGGGAATTAGTGAACTTTATAACTAATGTTTGCTCACAGCTGAGTTCTCACCCAACTTAAGTTTAAGTGGCGCTGACTTGGCCTACCTTGGAATTTTTTTTTTTTTTTTTTTTTTTTTTTTGCTATTTTTCAATCTTTTTTTTTTATTGGTTGTTCAAAACATTGCAAAGCTCTTGAAATATCATATTTCATACATTTGATTCAAGTGGGTTATGAACTCCCATTTTTACCCCGTATACAGATTGCAGAATCACATCGGTTACAAATCCACGTTTTTACATATTGCCATACTAGTGACTGTTGTATTCTGCTATCTTTCCTATCCTCTACTATCCTACCTTGGAATTTAAGGGCTGGGGAGCTGGGTGTGATGGTGCACACCTGTAATCCCAGCAGCCCAGGAGGCTGAGTAAGGAGGATTGAAGTTCAAAGCCAGCCTCAACAAAAGTGAGGCACAAAACAATTCAGTGAGACCCTGTCTCTAAATACACAAAAGGGCAGGGGATGTGGCTCCGTGGTTGAATGCCCCTGAGTTCAATCCCCAGTACTAAGAAAAAAAGGAGGTGCTGCTGGGGATATGGTCACTCGTTAAGCACCCCTGGGTTCAGTCCACAGTACTAAAAACAAAAACAAGCCATTGATAAGTGTGACAACTACTTCTACAAGTCCACCCACTATATATATGATATTATTTGTTTATTTATTTTGTTTTTCGTGTCTTCATACATGTACTTTGGATAATAATGTCCATCACATTCCACTATTATTTCTAACCCCTGTCCCCTCCGTTCTCCTCCTACCCCTCTGCCCTATCTGAAGTTCGTCTATTCCTCCCATGCTACCCCTCCCTACCCCACTAGGAATCAGTCTCCTTATATTAAAGAAAATATTCGGCATTTGTTTTTTGGGGATTGGCTAACTTAGCATTATTTTCTCTAACTCCATCAATTTACCTGCAAATGCCATGATTTTATTCTCTTTTATTGCTGAGTAATATTCCATTGTGTGTATATATGCCACATTTTATTTTATCCATTCATCTACTGAAGGGCATCTAGGTTGGTTTCACAGTTTAGCTGTGTGAATTGTGCTGCTATAAACATTCAGGTGGCTGTGTCCCTGTAGTATGCTGCTTTTAAGTCCTTTGGGTATAGACTGAGGAGAGGGATAACTGGGTCAAATGGTGTTTCCATTCCCAGTTTTCCAAGGAATCTCTACTGCCGGGTTTCTGTCCTCATGACTAAAAGGCTCCAGTTGAACTGGGATAACTGGGCTGCAAAAAATAACCACACAAGAGACACAAATACCTTTTTCATTGGGGTCACTGTGACGACTCCTCTGACCTTAAGGGTCCACAGGAAGAGAGAGAGAGAGAGCATGCGCTGACCCCTTTTATTGAGGAGAAGCTACTCAAATGAGGCAAGGGGTCAGGTTTCAGGGGGCTGAGTCTATCTTCATGATGTCCACTGTCAGCAGGTTGACTGACACCTGGGTAGGCCACACCCAAGGGTACAGTAAGAGAAGGGGGACATACACAAGGCACTTCCATGGAAGATTCTATCCTAAACAGGGCAAGGGGTTATATTACAAAGGAACAGGTGAGTGTAGCTCCACCCACGGGGCTGTAGGAAGACACACCCATGCAGGAGATACCAACCCTTGAACCCCAAGAAGGGTGGGGAAAGCTTTGCCACTTTTCTGTGACTGAGCGCCTCAGCACCAGCCGGGAGTGTGACTCAGTCACGTGCAAGGTTGGTCTCCCACACTCTACTGCTTTCCATATTGGCTGCACCAATTTGCAGTCCCACCAGCAATGTATGAGTGTGCCTTTCTCCCCACATTCTTGCCAACACTTACTGTTGCCTGTATTCTTGAGCATTGCTATTCTGACAGGAGTGAGATGAAATCTTAGTTTTGATTTGCATTTCTCTAATTGCTAGAGATGATGAGCATTTTCTCATGTTTGTCGATTGATTGTCTATCCTCTTCTGAGAAGTGTCTGTTCAGGAGACTCGTACGGCACAAGAATTAAAATCAAGAATCAGCAAATGGGATACACTCAAACTAAAAAGTTTCTTCTCAGCAAAAGAAGCACTCTGTGAGGTGAACAGAGAGCCTACATCCTGGGAGCAAAACTTTATCCCTCACATCACCTAGAGCACTAATCTCCAGAGTATATTAAGAACTCAAAAAGCTAAAGACCAAAAAAACAAATAACCCAAGATCATAACTGGGCCAAGGACCTGAACGGTCCACCACTTTCAAGTAATTTTCCTACATTTCCTACATTTCTAGGTAAAACCACACAGTGAAGGGCCTCAGTTGTTACTTACCAGGGCACCCAGTTGGGATACAGGGTGCCGCCGCTTTTGCCAGCATCCTATTTCCCTCTCCTCATCTGGACTGGAGCCAGGGCCCTCCAGCTTCTTTGGACACACCCGCTGTCCCGCTGTCCCACTGTCTTGACTGGGAAGGAGGACACCAAGGGAGTCAGTTGCTAATTTGACATTTTACACAACGATGTTGAAGACAATCCCCTTCCCACTGTGAACTTGGTTCGATCATTCATTATCTGGCAACTATTTACTGAGTACCTACTATTTAAGCGGTCTGGACACAGTGATGGGTAGTAGTGGTGATGTCTTGGACCTCCTGGGGCTCAGGTGCACTCTGGACATGTGACACTTTATTGCACAGAACAACAAGGCTGATTTCCTTGGTGACTTGTGAAACCTAGTCCCATTTTATTTGAGCAGCTTTTGATTTTCCCCGATGCCTGCGACGCCTTCATGAGCCAACTGATCATACTTTCGTGAGACATTCTGTTCATGTTATTTTTACCTGGTTCACAGAGCACAAAGTTCACTAGAACTAAGCAAAATTTAATTTTGAAGCCAACAATGGAAGAGTGTTGTGGGTGCTGCTAAGTTGGGGACAGTCGCTTTCCACCTGCCCCGTGTGGCGTCCTTTGGTAACAGCACTTTGCAGGAGCGGACACTGCATCTGGCCTCTCCTCTCTCAGGTGCAGGCACTCAGGCGCTGCTGCCTGCGGGAGGCCTCTCTAGTCCCTGGAGCCAATGGACCCTTCCCTGGGGTCTGCAGGCTGGGAGGAGCGTGCCTAAGGATATGGCCCACTGTGTGAGTCAGCTTTTTGTCTCTGAGACCAAAATACTTGTCCAGAACATCTTAGAGGAGGAAATGTGTGTTTGGATCGGGGTTTCAGAGGTCTCAGTCCATGGTCAGCGGGCTCCATTGCAGAGACATCACGGTGGAGGG